CGCCGAGTGTCCAGTGGTTTGGCAAGCAAGGTGTTTATCGCACATTCGCCGCCCAGCGATGGCCGGGGCCGGATGGCGGTGTGAGGCGACCTTTAACCGGCTCCGGCCGATCAGCCGCGTGACAGAGCCTCATTTGCATCAGGCTCGCGCCGGGTCTGACCTTGGTTGGCTGCCGACGTACCCAGACGTACACAATGGCAGCCCTGCGGAGCGTCCCACAACCGCTCACGAGGTTTTGGGAGGGCGGTATAGGATGTTGATGGTCGCCATTGCGTCGTTGATGAGTGCATGATATGAGATACCTTAAACCGGCGATGTCTGTGAATGTTGTCTGAAGAAACCTTCAACGACCAATACATTGGACCTAATCTGCATAACCAAATCTGGACAAGACACAGCACAAAAGCAAATAATACGTTTATGGTCGTCCAAAGGCGCGTGCGAGTAGGTATCAATACTGTTCATGGGTCCATGGGCATTGGTGTCGTGCTAAAACAGACCGCCTGGAAATAATCGACACCGTTGTACGGCACCACAAAGCTAATTGAGGAAAACGACACCTCACGACAACACTGCGGCCGCCGTGGACGCCTCGCGTGCTCTCCACCACCACTGACCCGGTTCGGATGTCTGCCCACAGGGCCGACAAGAGGACCTCTGGCAGGAAGCGTTTCCGTCTGTACGCGGTGTACGCCTGGGGCTGTCCGCTGCTGATGGCCAGCCTGGCGCTCATTATGGACCTGGCGCCGGGCATCGACAACTGCAGCGTCATCAAGCCGGCCTTCGGACGCTACCGCTGCCTCTTCCAGAGTGAGTACCAGCCGACAACCTGGCGTCTGCGTTTGTCAAAGTCGTGCACTGACAATCACAAGGACAAAGGCGATTGCAGGCTATGCATTTGAGACGGGTATGATGAGAACTCGTCGTGACTCCATGCGGTGCCTAGGACACAAAGGAGAACATAGCTTCAATGAATTGTAAGTAAATGAGGCAAGAAAGTGCAGGTACCTAGTGAACAAGGTAAATGAGCGCCTTTGCCAGAGGGAGGCGGAAGCTAAGTAATCAAACGTACCATTTTATGACGCAGGCAGCCTCGACTCCACAAACCAGCATAATAGGTAAATATTGATATATCTTGGGAAGGTTACCATGTCGAAGTCAAGGAAGGAATAATCTCACTACCGTGCGAACTAGATTAAGTAGGCGACCAACAAGACCTTACCTAGCGAATCCCACCCTTCATTCAACCCGGACGGCTGTCGCCGACACGCCGAGCTTGAAACACTTCGATGACTGTGCGAAATGGAACGCCACGAGACATTTCTGCATACTGGTGGGTTTAGTTCTCTGACCGCATCAGAAAATAATAATTATGGTGGCACGCAATGTGACCATCTTTATAATGCTCGCATGAGGCAATATTTGAGTCCCAGTTACAACCCCGTTTGACATGTGCTTCTTTTTCTACAGATCGGAAAGCGTTTATCGCGTATTTCTACATCCCGATCGGAGTGCTGCTCGCCATCTGCCTCCTGCTTTACATCTTGACGGTGAAGAACCTCAGCGTCCCCAGCAAGATGCCCGGCAAAGACGCTTCCAGCGCCATGAGCAAGCAGAGCGCTAAGCAGCAGGGAAAGAGGTGATGCGACCTTGGATGAGGCTTACTATGATCCGATCCGATGCATTAGTTGTTGGTAACATATACGTAGTTCCGCAATAGCATCATTTATCATAAACATAAACAATAGCATCATTGACTCTTTCGGGAGAGCTGATTTGCACCAGACTTCAGCGCTGCAGATCCGCCTTCGTTCCGTGTGGTGATGATACCAGTCTGCCTAGTGCCTAAAGGCTGAAACAGACTCTTTCCGCGTTCAGGAAATCGCATGCGAGAGCCTATTCAAATACATTGTAATTCTTCTCGCATCAATCGCTTGCCGGAGGTGCGTGCGATTGATGCGAGCGTGCTTCCATGTATTTGAATAGGCTCTCGCATGCGATTTCCTGACTGCCGAAAGAGTCTGTTTCAGCCTTAAACAACGCCAGTCCAATCAACCTCCAGGATATTCCATATGGCTTGCCATGCACATAAATAGCTTCAGGTCCAGCACTCTTGCTACGACTATGAAGTGCTATAGAGTGTATATGACCATTAATGTCTTTCTCATTTTCAAATATAGCGTTTATTTGCGGTCCCATGCGATCTCTTTTCTCTGGAACTGCAATGACCCTTTTAACGAACAGATGTTAGCAGAGGATGTTAAATGTGAATCGCGAAAAGAAAATAACTACGGTAACCGTACCATTAATTTCATCGACGGAAATCGATCACATTCATCTGAATAATGTGTATTTGTTCAACCTGACAGCTTCTCTATACATCGTGTCTGACCGCCTTGGACGTCTTTCTATCCACCAGACGTAAGCTGTGCGCCAAGCTGTTCCTGATCATGGGAATCACCTGGGTGGCCGAGCTGCTGTCCTACCTCATCGGCGACAGTCCCGTCTGGTATTTCTTTGACGTCATCAACATCCTCCAGGTCAGTGGACGGCGAGGCTAGGCGTGCGAGCCGTAACAAGGCAACCATTTTCCTACCCCAGTACCTAGTATTTCGTTCCGTGTAGTCATAAGGAAGATGGTCAGGTGCGAGCACAAAGCATGCGGATCTAGGACAGGATCGGTAATGCCAATGAATGAATCGTCCACTTGCTGTAAGTCACGTTGAATGTTCATCGTTTCGTTCAACAAACGGATATTGGTAGCTTGCTGAGTCGCATTAGTGATAACTTGTCAAGGAAGTCATTATTACTTTCACGCCCCTGGATCACGAACGCCCCACCTGTCGGCAGCGCGCCCGTTTACACATGCATGTATGTGGTTTGCCCGAACAGTAGAACTAACAATCATTTCGCACCGTCAGGGCTTTTTCATCTTTGTGGCGTTCATCCTGCGTCCCAAGGTTCTGCAGTACATCAAGAAGACGGCGCTCCAGTCACTGAGCCGCTCGTTCGGCCACGACTCCCAGCACGACGGTCACCAGAGGGGCGGCGCCGGCGGCGGCGCGGAGGCCGGCGCCGCGGCGCGCGCGCCGCCGGCCGTCTCCTCGCCTGCCACCATGAGTACCCGAGTGGCGAGCACGCGCACCAACTCGGGCGGCTCTGGCACCGGCACGGCCGCCAGTGGCTCGAGCGGCTCCACTGGATCCACCGGCACCGCCGGCTCCAATGGCGCCGCAGAGCCGTGAGCGACCGGAAGAAAACGGAGCAGCGACTGGTCGTATCGCGTGGCAGATGCCAGTTCAAACGTGAAACGAGAGGAAAAAATATGATGACTACGTCAACGTAAGAGGCGGTAAGGACGCTTGATGTCATCAGTAGCGGCAACTTCGTTTGCGTCTGGCTGGATCACCAGCACTATTATAGAGATCGAATGCCGTCTACCGATGCAAAGTGACATGAAATGCCGGAACTGCGAGTGTTGTCCACCAGTCACTCGTATTCTGACGTAGGTCCTGGACATGAGATCTATGTATCTGAGGCTTCGGACCACCGACCGTGATGGGTCATGCAAGATATCGGCCTGTCAAGGATCTGGAATAACGGTGTCTGGTTACGAGACGACGCCAGCGACGTTCATACGAGCCAGCTTTCAAATATCGGCAGAAGGACTCGGCGATCGCATCCCCGCTGGTCAGTGCAGTCCTCTGCGAACTTCACATGACCTCACATTCGCAGACTGTTTATCTGCACTCATAAACTACTTCGCCGCTGGTTCCGGCTCGGCGTCCGCCAGATGGAACGCAAAAACAAACAAAAAAGTGGCTTCTCGCGAGAGATCCGGCACAGCTGCGAGGTTCGGGGCCGGATGTCGGATGGAGGCGGCGGCGGAGCGGCCTCGAAAAGCGCCGATCTTCTCACGCGTCCGGCCACGTCGTGTGCGTGCGTCAAGATCGTCGAGCGTCGCATCTCCGCCGCATCGGCCGAGTGTCGTCAGCCGGGGATGAACGTTCTCACGGAACCCTGGGAGAGGGATGGATCGAGTCGGGACGGAGCGCAGCGACGCGCAAAGATCCGTGATGAGGTGTGGATGTCAGATCTTGAAATCACCCGCCGATAACGCCTGGAGCTGACTTTAAAGACGCGTTGTTCTTTAGCCGCTCCAGTCCGGGAGTAAGCATTCTCTGACGATATCTGGCACACATTCATCAAGATAATCAACGAGCATCAATAGAATAGGTACTGCCGCGGCGTAGTTGCTTTACCATTGCCTCATCATTGTGTCCTGTGGCTCTTTCATCGCAGTAGTTAAATGCACGTACAGGGTGTTTGAACGAGTGCTCGCGTTTTCTTTCAGACAATGCTTTGTATGCTGCTTGTTTTATACGTGTGACATATTACCTGAGTAGCGGGTAGGAACATACACCTATTTCAAGAAATAGGATTACTGTCTGAGTTTATACCCTGTGTTTTGTATGCAAAGTACGTTTAAGATAGATGAGCGTTCTATTCTGTCCGAAGATCTGATTTCCGTCGATTGTGTTTCTGCTGGTGCTAGATGTGAGCCCGATAGATGCGCTCTTCTTCTTGCATTTGCTTATCAGTTGTGACTTGTGAGGTGACTCCTTTGACGAACAGACCGTCTCCGAGGCTTGGAACTGTCTATATTTGTGCTGTGCATAATGAAAGCATGCTCGCTGCGCTATGTTCTTACGGACGTGATTCTTAGAGACGTGATGACGAAGGGTGTCTGTGTAGTAGCTATTTCAGGTAATGCTGAGAACGCTCTTTGGTGTGCCATAGTTGTTGGCGTCAATAAAGCTGGAAGTCGTTCCAATCGTGTGATCCATCCGAACTAGCATTTGTAATCTGATTGCGTATGGCAAATCACTGCGAAGTGCGCCATTGTAGCGCAGCAATATTGGTTGCTGGTGCTTAGGTATTTGCTAGCCCTGAAGGCTTCAACCTGGCGAGTGTTAAATGCGCTCTCCATGATGAATCACTCACATCGCATAAGATATATTATTTGCATTCAAAGTAAACACCTGTTACAATGTGCGTAAGTGATAGTCACACGAGGAGATGACACACGTGGAACAGCGCACATCAAACACTAAACAATGGTATCGCGACAACATGTAGAAGACCAAAGGTCAGGTCACCAATCGAGGGTTATAATACACAGGCAGTTTGATTTGATTACTTATTTATCTGAAAGTTACATCGATACAGGGGACAGGCGTTAACAAAACATTCTGCGGCTATCGGACGGCAGGATTTATACGAAACCCCGTTCTCAAGCAAATCGAAAAGCATTTGAGAGGTAGGACAACATTCACCTGCAATTTGACACGAAGCTACATACCATAAAAATGCCCTTCGGCGATGACAAAATTGAACCACGAGCAAACAACGATGTAGATGTGCATGTTCCAACAACGGTAGAACGGTGATTGGCCAACGCCGCTCCACGCTTTAACCAGTTTAATCATTTACCCCAACGCCTCATCTCCGTAAGCATCTCACAACATTCCCCGATACCTCGTGTCTTAAATCACAATGGAAGACAGATCAAGAGCCTGCGTCGTACAAAACCACGGTCGCATTCGACCGGTTTGCAATCAACACACAACAGTGACTCCACACCACAGATCCAGAGCCTCTGACGGAGCCTGGCATCGCACCGACTTCTTGTCGTCGCCACGCAAGGACGGAGAGTGGTGGTCCGATTTCAGCCGATGCAGGACTTGAATGTGTTGATGACGGCGTCGCGAGCGAACGGAATGTAGGAGATCGAGTACCACGTCATCGCCACGAACTCGATGATGCAGAATATCAGTACCAGGCCTTTCTTGTGCAGCTGCCGGTGAAGGAAACAATATATGGTGATACAAAGACTTTGGACACGACAGCCCTAACGATAGCTCACACAGGCATCTTGGCACGCGTTTGTAAGCAAGAAGAAAAGGCGGAATGGGTGAAGCGCACCCTTAGATGAGCAAAAGGGTTGCCTGCCACGTGTCAAGTGATGATGTTGGCATGAAAATCATTGTTATATATTAACCCGCGCACCGACGGGGGGCGGATATCCGCCCCCCCTGAGGTTTTTCGCAAATAGCGGGAAACCGCGGCGCGTAGCGCCGCGAAATTTGGTATGACTATTCCCTCATCAATTTTACACATGGTGTGCAAGTTTGAACCTCCTACCTTTCAAGGTCAGGTCACCAGGTCACTTTGAATGACCCAACCTCAAGTCACTTTTTTGCAACTTTGTCACCGTGCCAGAGATACAGTAGATGTCGGAGGCCTTTGAAAGTCACAGGATGTTATTAGGTCATTAGTAGCTACAATTTGTTTATCTCGGAATTTTGATATCGGTGACCTAAGGTCAGGTCAATTTCGCGACCTCCCCATTATAAGTCAATGGGGGAAAAATCAACTCCCTGTTTTTACCACTAAAACGGGTCGGAATGGCCCCATATACCATACATGACTTCATATACGATCAACCTTCACTACCTTGAGGTCTGTTTTGCTGTTGGGCAGCTGTGAGGTCATGTGACGTCATCAAAGGTCACCAAAGGTTTTTGGCCAATAACTCCGAACAGGAAGAAGATACAGACGCGTGGATGGTCTCATTGTGTTCAGCTCGTCAAGACGCATCGAATGATATACATGATGACCTCGAGGTCACGTGACCTGAGGTCAACCTTTGACCTTGACCTTTCGAGGTCAACATATATATCATTCGATGCGGATTGACGAGAGGATTACGATGATGCCCTTAGTTTGTTCCTATCTTGACTAATTCAAAAGTTATTCGAGAAAAACTCTCTCCATATCTAGCGCCGCCATTTTGACTTTTTCGACCCCTGTGACGTCATCTTTGACCTGACCTGAAAATGACCTTAGTAAAAATTGTAGATCTTGACCGTGCGTATCCGATGCCGTTTACCGCTTGTCGCTATCTTGCTTCGTTCTCGAGATCTCAGGGGGGGGGGGGGGGGCGGTCCCCCCGTCGGTGCGAAGTTGGCGCAGACCCCCGTCGGTGCGCCGGTTAAATCACTGACAACACATCTACGAATAATACTAGCGAATGCATATTTCGCTAGTATTCCAAATTACGAATACAATTTGGCTCCACATATGAACAACAATATGTAGCAAGCAACTGATAACTGGTGGAAATCATAGGACTTATTACACTTGATTCTCGTGAGAACATTGTGAAAAATGTAGAGGAAAATCGATCTCAACGAACCAGATCTAAATGCACATGTTAATTCCCCTGAAGAAGGAAAAGACCGGGAAGTGTACGATAAGGCAAACATTACGCCTCTCTTATTATTCAGCACCGGAAATATTTACGGACATTTAAGGTAATGAGCAAAACACGATCAGGCGTGATAGAGATAAGAACCAGTGCAAATTATACAGAATATTTCCAACAGTGTGGCGGATTGAGATGAGATGAGATGAGAGGATTGAGCAATAGGTATCAGAAGAGAAAGTCCAATAAAATGGGTATTTCTTAATGTGTCAGGAACCGGGCCTTTCCAGGGCCGGTCTAGGGACCTTCCTAGCCATCCTCTAGAATCTAGATCCTTGGAGGTATCAGAAGGAGTTCTCGGTCTTTCTACAAATATACGCAAAAATGCCAAGAAACAATTACTCCATTATAACAATACCTAAAAAAGTTTATTCCGAGACAACTAATCTGGATCGGGATAAATCTGGATAAATGTCATAGTTTGGTGAGGCTTTCAAAATAAACTATTCATTCATGTTATATTTTCGCACATGCGACTCAATCATCTCCAGGCACATAGTGTTCCATATATAATACCTACGAAAGAATGTTAATAGATTAAAAAATGAATACAAATGAAAAAATGATTCCCTTACTATGTAGTACATGTTAGGCGGGAAGATGTTATGAGGATATGGGACTCACCAGATGCCAAAGGACGTCACTGGAAGTGGACACAGCGGAGAACAATGGATACAATCGCGAATGACACCACGGACCCATCAACCAAACTTCGTCCCTGTTCAGTACATCGGTGTCAGTTTTAAACAGCACCCTGCTCATAAACACCCCCTTTCGGTTTTCACTAATATCCCAAAGCACACCACGTTTTAATCACACATTAGCATACATTTTTTTTTTCTGTACATGTTGCGAAAATTTCAGGCCCAGGTCAGGTCACCAGGTCACGTCAAGCGACCTTACCTCAGAATACGTTCCAATGTTTGTCATAGCAAAGCTGACTCACATATCGCTTTAAACCTTTCGGCGATTGATGAGGGCAACACTAACAGCATGTATAAAACGCGTACGTACCTCAGAATTTTGACATTGGTGACCTACAGTCAGGTCAATTTTGCGATATCTCCATAAGTCAATGGGAAAATTGTACTGTTTCCTTTGAACGGAAGAAGCACCCCAAAACTTCTCGGTGTGGGTGGGAGACGACATCTGAATGAGGGTCATTTTTCACTGTCACCTCCGATTTTTAAGAACAATTCCCACTCCAAATTTTACCGAAAAAAAAACATTTGCAGGGATGGTGGTTTAGCACCCTAAATTACACCATATTATATAGACATTTATGCTACTGATCGCTTATCACTCTTTTGTGAGCCTAATAAGACCAGCAATTTTCTACTCTCATCCCCCGGCTTGTGGTGAGGAATTTTTCCCTCTGATACCCAATCCAAAATATAATTTTGGGACACTGGTCACAAAAGTCATGCTCACAAACATCTGAATATAAGAAAACGTGAAGCATTGAATCGAAAAATTTCACCCGTAAACCTCTATTTACCCATATCTCTGAGAACAACGTCATCTCAGGTCACTAAAGGTCCCCGAGAGTAAGGTCACTAAGGTCCCACTAAGAGCTTTTTCTATTGTAGCTTTTAATAGGGGCATGCTAGAACGATGAAAACACATCAGATGTCTTATGTCTCTTCAGCTCGACGATACGGATCGACTGATATACGTCACGACCTTTTCCGCTCACGTTGGGCACTCCCAGACGCAACGAGTGTCCTCACTGAAGGCGGGCACTCGCCGCCGACAGGGCACTCACCGCCGACAGGGCACTCACCGCCGCCACAGGGCACTCGCCGCCGACAGGGCACTCACCGCCGCGGCGACGATGGTGAGCACGATGGACAGCAGCACGACCACGGTGGCGATGGCGCGCGTCTTCGCAAACATGTTCTTCAGCTGCTTCACGGGACCCATCAGGAACAGTGTGCTGAAGAAGCGGCACAACGGAAGGTCACAAGCAGTAGCTGCAGCTACACTCAGGTGCAAAACGAGCGACGAAAGAAGCATGTTCCCAAGCTGCTAGCTTGTCTTCGTTTCTCACAATTTATTTTCAGCCACAGAACCCGCTTCATTTAAGGGTACTCGTGAAACGGTCTCAGGAGCTCGAGTGAAATAAACCTTGATGGTATGACCAATGGTGACAGAACGGTTCGAGCTGCTTTAATGCCCGTTATTTTTTTTCCCGACGGACATGGATTCTTGAAGCAAGCGGCACGGCCGTGTAAGAAATCTCTAAGAGTTACCTAGTGACTGGGCATAATAGCTCACAAGTTTTTAACTGTCGACCAAATCAGCGAACCGTAATGACATTGCTGAATCACAGGAATCACACTTGAAGCTAATGTCATAGTAAATTTGGACTATTTGCCCCAGGGTCCTAAAAAAGATGTTTCATGACAGGAGGCAAATAATGCAGACAACAAGTGACAACTGACCAGGCATCGGTAGGATTGTGATTGCAGGATTGCAAAATCATGATTGCATTCCTTTTTGGTGGATTGCACCTGGATTTGAAATCCATTCCAAAAACAGGATTTGATTGCGGATTGGATTGCATCATACTTCCAATTTTTGCAATCCAATCCGGATTGTGTTTGATTAGTGCTTTGAAATGGTTTGTTGCGATTGAAAATTATGAGATCGGCTTCATCGGCTTAATGTACTTTGCTATCAAGGGCTTTACATCGAAACTTGAAATAATTTAAACGCTTTTAATTTAAACGCTCAAAATAATATACGCTGAAAATAATATACGCTGATGAACTACATAGGAAGGGCAAAATTACGTATTTGAGGGCGAGTTTTAAAAATATAAAACACTGATTGGGTAGAGGTTTAAATGTGGGGGTGTTTGAGGCAAAAAATATTTCCCATAAAATACCTGTGCCTTAGATAGGAATTACTCGCAAGACTAGGTACTAGAAATGGGTGATTTGGGGATGGAGGCACGGCCCTATGCCCCCCTCCCTCCGGCAGATCCACTAGTGCACATAATAATACCTACAACAGGATTGCAAAAAAGGATTGCAGATTTGATCACAATCCAAGTGAAAAAAGGGGATTGCGGGTAGGAATGCAATCCACTTCGGCACTAGGAATGTGGATTGGGAATGCAATCCTTTCAAAAAGGATTTTACCGATGCCTGCAACTGACAATAGTTAACACTATTAATATTTCCTTAGCATTCAGTCCGGACATTTAATAAATTAACCCGCGCCGGGCCGGTGCTCCGCGACTTTCGCGCCGGGCCGGGAGGGGGGTCTGAACCTCCCCCCCTCTAACTCAGCTCCTGGGGCACATAACGACACGCGGTAAGCGGCATTCGAAAGAGCATAACAAATAATGACGAAACCACTTAGCTCATTTTTGGGTCAAGTCAAAGGTCAGGTCCTCAGAGGTCATCAAAGGACAAATGAAGTCCAGTTCAACATTTCTGAAACTGCCAACGGCTAACTCGGGAACCAATAAAGCTACAGCGCCACGGAAAAGCGCATTCGATAGCCATTTTACATAACTTTCTGAGTAATGTTCTCAGATTGTAGTTTGTACCTCAGGTCAACGGTTTAGCTTTCATAGGGCAAGAACTAAAAATAGCCGTTCTCACGAAAAAGGTTTTTCGGTAATAACTTTTGATTCAAGCAATCCACGGCAATACTTTTGCCAGCATCGTGTTCCTCTCGTCGAGACGCGTCGAGTGAACTATTCTTTGACCTTGCAAGGTCATTTTGAAAATTTGACCTCAGGTCAAGGTCAAGACAAGGTCATGACCTGACCGGAAAGGGCCATATTGCATATCAGTCGATCCGTATCGTCGAGCTGAATACATCTGACGTGTTTTCATCGCTCTAGCACATCTCTATCAAAAGTTAGAGCAAAAAAACTGCTGGTGACTGGTCATGACCTGAGATGACCTCAGGGGAACACAGAGGGGTCACAGGTGCATTTTTCCGATTCAGTGTGTTATGTTTACCCATGAACCGATGTTTGAAAGGGTTTTGAACAGCATCGGTCCTATTTCCAAAAAGGGCACATTTCAATTTTATCCCATTGACTTACCTATGGAGTCAATGGGAGTACTAATAAGTAGTTACTAATGGAGAGGTCGCAAAATTGACCTGATCTAAGGTCACCGATATCAAAATTCCAAGATATACATTTTGTAGGTACACAGGTATTGTTACTCTTACCAATCGCTGAAAGTTTCAAGACGATCGTTTAGTCAGTGTAGCTATGACGAGGATTGAAACTTTTTCTGACGTGAGGTCACTTGACATGGCAGACCGCAGGGGGGAGGTGTTCACACACCCTCCCACCTGGCGCGGGTTAAATAGGCAAACAAAATGAGAAAAAAGACACAACCATGACCTACCATATGAATCAACTGCACCTGGAGCATATCATGGACTCACCTGCTCATTGCTGTAATGTTTCCGATGGTGTACAAGATGCAGAATATGACAATGCCATTTTTGAACCAAAACAAAACTGATCCCAGAATGGAGCAAATGATTCCGGTGACAAAACAGATGATAAATCCTCTAAGGCGGGTGCTCCAACTCAAGGTGGTTGAGCCTACAACCTGAAACAGTGGCAGCAAGTGCAAATGAGATGCATCATCCATACAAACATAACCATGCACCCTGTGTGCAGGCTAGAAACTGTGAAATACCATTCTAAATGGCATGCTTAATCATAATAGCATACTTCAGCATGTGAAAATAACTGGGATAGGTATATGCTATAAAGGAAACCTAGAAACAGGAATCCTTTCTAAGCATGCCTCTCTTACAGCATATATAAAGCATGCTGCAAGGTCAATCTAACTTGATCAACCTTTGTACTGCTACCTGCAATGTCAATGTCAAAAAACAAGCAGGGCATATTAACTTAATATGCCCTGCTTGTTTTTTGACATTGACATTGCAGGTAGTAAGTCTCATTTCATGCAATGAGCCAAAAAGGAGCAATCTTCAATAAGCACTTACTGAAGTGAGCTCAAAAAGACCTGGAAATAAGAATTAAAAGCTAGCAAATACGTTTTACACTTAACATTCCATCATTACGCAGATAAATACCTGAGTGTAGAACCCTGCTTCCTCGTCCTCTGGGTCATTTTCTCGACCTGTCAGAGCTCGTTTTAGCTTGTCCATAGCTGAAAGATAAAATCCAAGGCTGGAAACATACTACTGATAATATTGGCATAGCCGCATAGCCAAAACATCTAACTAGACAAAATACCTTATATGATATCTACAAGGACACTTACTTTACACTTGTAATGCAACTCAACACATACACACAAAAACACCACATCTGTGATGAGGGTGTTGTTTTATCTATGAGCATTAACTAAAAAATGTCATTCTGTTGTGCTGTTGCACCAAACATGTAGGTAAATAACAAAACCACCCATTACTCTTCACGTTCACCCTACCTACTGTTGCCTCCAAGTCTGTTCTATCCTTTATTGATATAATACAGCTTGGCCCCTTTACTATCAATGTATAGGCATATAAAAATATATTGCAAGCACGCCCAACTTCCAGCCCCTGCAGAATACACCACTACCAATTATTATTCTCCACCTACCGTGATGATCAAGATTGAGATGGCTTTCAACAACCCTTCAGTGGTTTTCATGTGCCTTTGATGTCACGAAATTGGGTTACATTTTACATTGATTTTACGTAAAGAGGCACGCAATAAGGGTATCGATTACCGAATCAGCTACGAGATATCTTAAAGTCTAATGACGTCACCAAAAGTTAACTTAAAGTACAGAATTCAAAGCATCGAAGTGTCGAATGCCGCATTGTTATAAAAAGTAGACGGTAAAATACACTGGAGCTTAAAATTTTGGAGAACTAGAGAAAATTAGGGAATTTTCATAAGTTAGCATTTAGGGTTTTATGAAAGATATGTAGGTCAACAGGTTTTTAATAAATGCCACTTTTCATTAAACGGTGTGACAAATGAAATAGCTTAACCACGAAAATTGTTTTAAGTTGTGCATTTCTGAATTTTCTATTGGGTAACATTTTCCTGGAGGGCAAACTAACGCAATTTTTACTTCATTTGCTTTTCATATTTATTACGAGCGAGCGAGCGCAGCGAGCGAAGTGAGTCTTTTCAATATAACGGAAAAATCTCAGTATGAGCGGCCCGGCCCGGCCCGGCCCGGCCCGGCCCGGCCTGTAACGCTTTTGAGAGGCTTATATCTCAGCAACCGCTGGACCGATTGGCCTGCGGTCTTTTTTGTTGGGTAGCCCCATCCCTTCTACCCCGTAATTGACTACTTTTGATACATCTCAGTGACCGTCGTGGCACGTGCCACGTGAAAAGTCAAGGGTGTTCAAGCTGTTTCGCAAAAGTAGTGATTTTGAGAGGCTCATATCTCAGCAGCCACTTGGGCGATTGACTTGCGGTAATTTTTGTAGGGTAGCAGCATCCCTTCTACCCAAAATAGGATACTCTCGATGTATGTGGGTCACCCCCAGTGCACGTGCAAAATACAACAATAAGAGGTGCCAAATTTGTTCCCATTTCAGTAACTCGGTAATTACTGGGGCGATTTCGCTGAAACTTGGCATACAGGTACCCAGTAAACATGCCGACGTCGGCCCGACGTCGGCCGACGTCGGGGTGACGTCGGCAACTCGGCATCGGCATGCCGACGTCGGCCCGACGTCGGTCCAACCTCGGCACGACGTCGGCTGGATGTCGGATATGCCCGCATGTTCCGACGTCCAGCCGAGGTCCAGCCGACGTCGGGCCGACGTCGGACCGAAATCAATTGCTGAGGTCCAGCCGACGTCGGGCCGACGTCGGGGCGACGTCGGACCGACATCGGCCGCTGTTTTGACCGTTAAAATAATATAAAATACATGTTTCATGTTTCATAAAGAGCTTCTGTATTCAAAATATCCTCAGGAAACACAAATCTTCCTCCACGCCGCAACCCCCTGATCCGGACTGGACGGGAAACTTTATCCCATTTGGGATTGCCCGTAAGCCGAGCTCGCCCGTAGCCGGGTGCGGTGAGTGCTTGGGGGCTGCTCGGCCTATCCTATCCTTTGGTCAGGCTCAGCCCCGGCAACTCACCGGGGCCGGGCCCAGTTCATATAGAAAGGCCAGTCGGCAAGTGTCACTTTGCCAAAGTGCCACTTATCAAAGGGACACTTTAGGAAACGTTGGTGCAGGTGTGTAAGAGTGGCTATATGAATCCATTCTGGGGTCGCCCTTTCCAATAAGTGTCACGTAACAGCAATGGGACCAGGGACTCTATATGAACTCGACCCAGGGTGCCTGCCAAGAAGACCTATGTCTCCATCCTATGATCCTTCCGGCTCTGAAATGGTCTTGTCAGACCGAAAGGGCATAACCCAACAAAACAAACCACATCCGTTAGCTGGCTGCGTGGTGTAGTGGCTAGCGCACTAACCTCGCGATCGAATGACACAGGGTTCGAATCCCATCGCCGGCTGGTGCTTTTGGCGTGTTGTCCCAGTAAACATGCCGACGTCGGCGACTGGGGGGCTCGAATCCCGCCGCCGGTTGATATTTTTGGCGCGTTGTCCCAATAAACATGTCGACGTCGGCCGGGTCGGTCCAACGACAAACGATCTCGTCAACCTCGGCAAACGATCTCGGCCCGACGTCGGCTCGACGTCGGCTGGACTTCGGCTGGACGTCGGAACATGCGGGCATATCCGCCGTCCAGCCGATGTCGGGCCGAGGTTGAACCGACGTTGGGCCGACGTCGGGCCGAGCCTCGGCCCGACGTTGGGCCGACGTCGGCATGTTTACTGGGTAAGCACCCACCAGGCAATGCATTCCCATGTGTTGCGGTTAGGGTGCTACTGCACGTGCGCACGTGCAGGGGGCGTTTCCAGATCTCGAGAACGGCTGGGCCGATTGCGCTCAAATTTGGTACACGGTTGGGGACCAGTTAGTAGGGTGCCGTGCAAAAGTCATTTTGGACCCCGTTTGCACGTGCGCACGTGCAGAATGCCGCTTCCAGATCTCAGGAACGGCTGGGCCGATTGAGTTCAAATTTGGCACACCGCTAGCCACCGGTTAGAAGGGTGCTTTGCACAAGCCCGTTGGAAGCACCCTCTCGCCCTTCCGCACGTGCAGGGCTCACTATCTTGCTCGCTCGTTCTTCGCCCAAAAGGCGTTTTACTGGTCTTAGCGATCACAGAAACACGGCTAGCCGTAGATGAGCAATTGCTAAAACTTTCTGTATTTAGCTTTTTCGTTTTTAGCCTTGGGGCAGCGCAATCACTTTTTAGTCTAAATTTAGAGTATTTTTCACTTGAAAATCAAATATTAATATGCATATTATAACCCAACAGCCCCCACTTTCGATGAAAATGTATTTGTTTTAGAGACTTTTGCCTCAATACATTTTCTCTCTCGCGTGAAGCTGCAAAAAACCGTCTACCTTCATAACTTCGACGAACTCAGCGCGCCTTACCAATCTGGCGTGCGTGGCGCGTCGCACTTGACTGAGGAAGTATCATTTCTAGGTGTTCAGGATAGTAAGTATGCCGTATTTTTTTTTTATTCCATTTTAAGCTATCAGTCACATTAAAGAAAGCTTGCGGCTGTCCTATATGTTTGTTGATTGAAGTTTTTCGACATACCAAGATAGTCCTAAGCCTTTGTTAGATGGGCCACGCCAACTTTACCTTACTCTTCGTTCACCGGGCCTTGATGTGCAATGAAATTATCAAGTTATGAATATTGATCTTGCTGTCTGTCTCACTCTCCCTGGCGGATCCAGCAGTTTGCAAAGGGAGAGGCAAAAGCTTATGTCTCAGAAGGTTATCAACGACAAAATTTTCCACTTTTAAAATACTTAGCCAAATGGCTAAATGGGGATCGGAGATGAGGTTTTATTAACCTATCTTTCATGCATGTTGTCATTTTGGTGAATGGCGGTCCAGAGGAGGTTTTAAAGGGGCAAATTTGATTTGGAAAGGGGACAAATTATGTTTTTGCTGACTCTGCCCTTAGTCCTGACTGGCCTGGTTGGCTCTCCCTTGGGCCCTGGATTTGCCAGTGATCAGTTTGATAATTTTTCAAACACCTTAAAATTAATCACAAATTATGCCTATTTTTAGTGTATCCTCGATCCTGTAAGTACTCAGCTAAAGTGATGTTCTGGCATGTTATTCCTCTGTTATAGTTTGACAGTTAAATGCACTGAAATTCAGCACTCGTGCTTTTGTGCCAATATTTTAGCCCAATTTGCTCTTAACCCTATTCCTGGCGGGCTCCGCCGGGACAAGAAACTGGCGGGGGGGGGCCGATTCGGCCCCCCCCTGAGATCTCGAGAACGAAGCAAGATAGCGACAAGCGGTAAACGGCATCGGATACGCACGGCCAAGATCTACAATTTTTACTAAGGTCATTTTCAGGTCAGGTCAAAGATGACGTCACAGGGGTCGAAAAAGTCAAAATGGCGGCACTAGATATGGAGAGAGTTTTTCTCGAATAACTTTCGAATTAGTCGAGATAGGAACAAACTAAGGGCATCATCGTGATCCTCTCGTCAATCCGCATCGAATGATATATATGTTGACCTCGAAAGGTCAAGGTCAAAGGTTGACCTCAGGTCACGTGACCTCGAGGTCATCATGTATATCATTCGATGCGTCTTGACGAGCTGAACACAATGAGACCATCCACGCGTCTGTATCTTGTTCCTGTACGGAGTTATTGGCCAAAAACCTTTGGTGACCTTTGATGACGTCACATGACCTCACAGCTGCCCAACAGCAAAACAGACCTCAAGGTAGTGAAGGTTGATCGTATATGAAGTCATGTATGGTATATGGGGCCATTCCGACCCGTTTTAGTGGTAAAAACAGGGAGTTGATTTTTCCCCCATTGACTTATAATGGGGAGGTCGCGAAATTGACCTGACCTTAGGTCACCGATATCAAAATTCCGAGATATACAAATTGCACATACTGGTACCCTAACTAAACCCTGAAGAGAAGAAATTGATCGGTCAAAAACTCTAGCTCTGGCGTGATTGCAAACTTTTCTGAGGTAGCGTCACCAAACCGCCTCTGGTGACCTGACCTGAGGTCAGATCAACTCAAAATTTTCAGACATGTTGCGTAGAAGCCTTTTAGGAAAAGTCAGAAAATTTGAGCTTCCTAGCTCAACGCGTTTGGGAGATATAACCAAAAAACCTCAGGGGGGGGGGGCTCCTGAGGCCCCCCCCCCGCCAGGAATAGGGTTAAAAGTTAAAGCTTTTTGTGCAACTTCAAACTTTTTCTACCATTGAAGCACATGCACATGCTTATCTATCCCATGAATGCTGAAGTTTGATAACAAATACTTAGCAAAGAGACTGGACAAAGGGCAAGTTGAACACGAATGTATTTCTGTCACAAGCTCAAAGCTCTTCAAAAGTGAATTGAGACAGGACATAAGGTCCCTATTTATAGATAAAGTACTTAAATACAATATAGTTGGGTGCACCAGCCACCAGGCCTTGTTCATTCTACATATCCTCTTCCTATTCGCCACTACTGACAGCTGCCTGGCTTCCTTGTGCACGCAACTCTGTGCACATATGCCGAAGCCTGGGGCTGGTCCGTGCCCCTTTCCTGTGACCTTCTGCTGCAGTCTTTTTTATAACCAGTGTGGTATTATTTTGTTCAATTCCAAAACATAGGTATCAATAGGGTATTAGGAATATTGCTTGACTTTACATCAGCACCAGATGATAGACAT